AATGGTGTAGGGAAAAAGTGAACATACCTCCAATGAAGGCATATATAACAATAGAAGGAGAAGGAGCAGAGAAGACAATAGTGGAATGGGGAGACACAGCACAAACACCTGACTCGAGAGGCTTGCCCATGGGCACCTTTAACTCTGCCTCTTTTGCCGTCAATTCCCCTTTCTTTGTCGCCAAGAACATCACTTTCAAGGTAGCTTATTACCCATTACCATATAATTGTGTTCAATTTTATTTGGATGTGTTATGTTTTGAATCCATCTTAGCGGTCTTATGTATATGTGTGCAGAACACAACTCCGATGCCCTTGCCGGGGGCGGTTGGAAAACAAGCAGTGGCGTTGAGGGTTTCGGCGGACAATGCCGCGTTTTTCGGGTGTAGAATACTTGGTGCTCAAGACACTCTCTATGATCATTCGGGAAGACATTATTACAAAGATTGTTACATTGAGGGATCTGTTGATTTCATATTTGGCAATGCTCTTTCTCTCTATGAGGTAAACATCGATGGTCACTACTGCTCGATTAGCGCCTAGCGTATCTTAAAACATTAATTAATTGTTGTAGCAATTTTAAGTTGGACTAACTATGTGGTGTTTAGGGGTGCCATGTGCACGCGATAGCGGATAAGCTAGGAGCAGTGACGGCGCAAGGAAGGAGCAGTGTGCTAGAGGACACTGGGTTCTCGTTCGTAAAGTGTAAGGTGACAGGGACAGGGGTTTTGTACCTTGGAAGGGCATGGGGTCCCTTCTCAAGAGTCATCTTTGCTTACACCTATATGGACAACATCATCCTCCCTAAAGGCTGGTACAATTGGGGCGACCCTTCCCGCGAGATGTACGCATACTTTACTCCTATTAATTTGACCTCGTTTACTTCTTTTAAAAAATTACATATAACCTTAAGTATATCATTCTAGCTAGGAGTTATTCTATCAGAACTCAGAGGTGGGTGTAGTTAAAAACCCACATTAGTTAAGAGAGAGAGGGACTAATTAAGGTAGCAAACTCCACGACATTGACTTCTAGTACTCGAGTCTCTCCCATTCACTGTAGTGTAGAGTGCATGAAGTAGAAGCTAAGAGAAGATGCCATAAACTTGATTAAAATTGTACAATACATTTCAGTCAAATTTACAAAATATGATAAGCATAATCTTGTTGCCTCATCCACTATTCAGAGTTTTTATTTCTCCTAGAGTCATAGGTCCCACCACACACAACCCCTTCCCAACAACGAGTTTAAAATGGCGCCGTTCTGAGCTCCAATGTCATGCTCTTTGCTGCCCAATTTGTTGTCAGCATTATCATATGCTTTCTATAATTCCATTGCCACCACTCAACATCTTCCAACCGAACTCATTTTTGTCTTTATTACCCAAAAACGTTGATTATCGTAATATAATACTTTGTGCGCGTGCATACGTATATATATTGAGTTTTATATGGAAAGTGTTTAAATTCTTTAGTATATAGGAGAGAGGTCGTTGAGACTTTTCTCTATACAAAAGCTCCTATAAATACAAGTTTAAAGCCATTAACGCAGGCGTGCATGGTCCCCTTCTAGTGTTCTATATAAGACATGGAACATATTATCATCACAGAAAAAAGAAGAAGAAAATCTAAACAATAATCATAAGAATACTAAATAAAATGTGGATGCATGCAGGACTGTGTTCTATGGACAGTACAAGTGCACAGGACCAGGAGCAAACTATGCAGGGAGGGTGAATTGGGCAAGAGAGCTCACCGACGAAGAAGCTAAGCCTTTTATATCTCTTACCTTCATCGACGGTTCTGAATGGATCAGACTCTAACCATTACTCTCTTTTTTCTCTCTTTTTTTTTAAAAAAAAATCCTTTAAAAAAAAAATTAATAATGTACATTTTCCTTAATAAAATGAAACACAGCCTTGTGCACGCCTCGCATATTTGTTCTTTTTTCTTTCTTCCATTATTTCAATATGCATTTTGGTTCATCTTTCTCATTTTATCCAATTTGGTTACATATGGATT